GAATACTATGCAGCCATAAAAAAATGATGAGTTCGTGTCCTTTGCAGGGAAATGGATGAATCTGGAAACCATAATTCTCAGCAAACTAACACAAGAACAGAAAATCAAACACTGCATGTTGTCACTCCTAGATGGATGTTTAACAATGAGAACACAGGGACACAGGGAAGGGAACATCACACACTGGGGTCTTTTGCAAGGGTCCAAGGGAGGGAGAGTGGGGTGGCAGGGAGGTCAGGAAGGGATAACACATGGAGAAATGCCAGATGTAGGTGACGGGGATGGAGGCAGCAAACCATATTGCCATGTGTGTACCTATGCAACAATCCTGCATGATCTGCACATGTACCCTAGAACCTAAAGTACAAATTTAAAAAAGAAATAAAATATAACCAGAAATATTCTGTCTTGTTGATTTTTAAAAAAAATAAAACGTCTTGATCTATGAGAGCGTAAATCCATTACTGATTTTCCTTTTTTCAGCTGCACTAGCATTTTGAATTAATCCTCATGTGCTGCTTTTATAGCACTTTATTTATCTCTCCATTTCACACACACAATTAAGAACTAACCAAATGTTGACTACGCAACTGTTCATATTATTACCTCTAATTTAGTTATCCTTTCTAGTGGGGCATAAATTACATTTTCTATGCCACATTGGAGACCTCTTTTTCTCCCTTTTCCCCTCCCTCCCTCCCTCCCTCCCTTCCTTCCTTCTTTCCTTCCTTCCTTCCTTCCTTCTGCAATGATAAACTTGATTTCACTTTTTAGAAAGTATATATTTTCATCCTTATAGAGTTTCTTCCCTCACAAATAAGGAAAACAAGCAGGTATAAAGATTTTTTAAAATCTGTGATTTTTACACACAAAAGGTCCCTACTTTCTCTTCTTTTCCCTCAACTGACCCATTAGCTTTTTCCTTTAATTGCTGTGGCCAAATTTCTGTGGTCCCAGGAAACAACTCCCTTGGCCAAGGATGGCAATCCAGGTCTCCACAGCAACATTTGAGTAACTTTTCTGTGCTGCCAATAAGCTTCCTTTTCCATATGGAGGTATTACACCTGACGTTTTTTACCAAGTGATGGTAACATCAATGAGCTCTGCATTTTGTGATCCTCTGTTTCAACATTAGTCCAGGCAGGTTAGATGGATAGAAAGTGGACGGATAGAGATCAGAACTTTAAGTAGAAACACACAGAGCAGTGAGAGGGAGAATTTAATCAAGCAGGAGTGATGAATTAACTGTTATTCAACAGGAAAATTGCAGCAGATTAACTAACGATCGAAATATAGAAGGCAACAGAATGAGTGGAGTCAAGTCATGATTTCGTGTTCAATATTGGAAAGCTTATTCCAGTGACATTTGCACAGATGTGTTGTGTGCAAAGAATAAAGTCAGAGTAGAAGATTTGGGTCCAGTGCAAGTAAAATGTGAAGCATTTTAGACAATGCTAAAGAAACTAGTTTTGGTATGTTATAGTTTCCTAAACCACAGACAGAACACAAAGATAATCACAGCAGAAGAAACACGATGTAGTGGAAATAAGATGGATTAAGGAAACCAAAAGTCAAACACATTCTGGATTTGCCACCAATTTGTTCTGTAGCTTTAGCAGAGTCATTTACCCTCATTGTTCCTTGGTTTTCTCAACTCTAAAATGAAAGAATTTTACAATGACTAACAAAGTTTGATTCAGGCCATAACTACTGACTTCTGTGAGGCTTGCTGTATTGTTGACAGCATTAATAACAATTTTGGGAGCCTGAGCTCCAGTGTCCATTCCTGTCCATCTTTCTCATATTTCGAGTGGTATCCTGAGGTCTTTCTATCCATCTTTATCTGAGTGACTTCAAACATTGATCTACTTTAAAAAAACAACCTAGAATTATCATCCTTATTTGGATTGGTGATAAGCTCACGTGACTTTAATTCATTTCCTATTTATGTTGGTCAGCACAGGGATGAGTAAACTGAGCAGAGGAGAGAGTAAGTTGATCAGTAGAAATCTCTGAAGTATTTTTCTTTTCTTACATTCTAGGCTTTGTGGTAGGAGTGTAGGCAGAGGTTGGTGGTCTGTGCTAAACACAATTATGAGATTCAGAACACTACAAAGGCAGACTGAGATTTAGTTGCTTATCACAACTAATAATGTATTTTTCTTTTGTAGGAGTGAACTAAGTGGAGAGCTCAACTCTGTCTTTATGAAAAAGATCAGATTTAAACAACTATTCCGGCTCAAGCCTGTAATCCCAGCATTTTGGGAGGCCGAGGTGGGTGGATCACAAGGTCAAGAGATCAAGACCATCCTGTTCAACATGGTGAAACCCCGTCTCTACTAAAAATACAAAAAATTAGCTGGGCAAGGTGGCGCCTACCTGTAATCCCAGCTACTCGGGAGGCTGAGGCAGGAGAATTGCCTGAACCCAGGAGGCGGTGGTCCCGGTGAGCCAAGATCGCGCCATTGCACTCCAGCCTGGGTAACAAGAGTGAAACTCCATGTCAAATAAATAAATAAATAAATAAACAACTATTCCCTGTTTTCCAAATTTTTAGCAACACTAGGAATTATTGAATATAAATCTTTGCTAACCTTACATATAAAAATCAACAAGTATCGTTTTAAAGATCAAACAAAAGTCTTATGTAGGCCAGGCACGGTGGCTCACGCCTGTAATCCCAGCACTTTGGGAGGCCGAGGCGAGTGGATCACGAGGTCAAGAGATCGAGACCATCCTGGTCAACATGCTGAAACCCTGTCTCTACTAAAAATACAAAAAATTAGCTGGGCATGGTGGTGTGTGCCTGTAATCCCAGCTACTCAGGAGGCTGAGGCAGGAGAATTGCCTGAACCCAGGAGGTGGAGGTTGCAGTGAGCCGACATCGTGCCGTTGCACTCCAGCCTGGGTAACAAATGCGAAACTCCATCTCAAAAAAAAAAAATCTTATGTAAAAATTAAAAATGTTTTAGGAGTGAGTGGAAATTGGAGACATTGATAGAATAACTTACAGTTTCTAGGGGAGCAATTTAGAATTTAAACATTCACTTAAATAAATTGCTTTAGTGGGAAGGTTGCTGATGATAATCACTGTGAAAGAAACTTAATTTATTCCAAGCTGAGTTGCCCTTTATAAGTGTAAATGCTATTTATACTATTGTGATGCAAAAGTCTAAACAGGATAATTTGAAGACATGTTGAAAAAACATGATTTACAATGTCGGGAAATTCTATAGTGTTCATTGTTAGATCACTCTTAGAACACTATTAGTATGAAGGTTTTCAGTTTGGTTACCACAGTATAAATAAAATTTGTTTTCATTTAGTGTAAAGAGGACTTCATTGAGAAAGGAATTAGACAGAGTGGGTACTGACCAAAATAGGAAGAATTAGATGTAATGAGTACAAGGACAGGTAGGCCAATTGAAGAATGTGGAGGGAAGACATGAGCTAAAGTGCATGCATACATGTGTGTGTGTGCATGTGCGTGTATGTGTGAAGAGTAAATGCCTTTTGGGAACATGTCCAGAAAAAAAAATAGTATAGCTTAGAGTATAAGGTGTAGGGAGAAGTGAAGTAACAACGGTAGTGAATATTTTGGGAGTAGCTTTGATTCTTAATTTGAGAGTTACATTTTGATAATATTCTTAATTTGAGAGTTACATTTGATAAAATTAGTCTGAAGACACCAATTGTGTAATTTTCTGAAAACATTTACCTTATCGTAAGATTAAAATTGATATGTGCTCACTGAAAAAAACCTAAGATAGTAAGAGCACAAAGTGAAACATAAAAGTTCTTTTCCTTCATTACTTTCTCAATTCCAGCCCTTGGAGATCATTATTAACAGGCTTTTGTGTATCAATTTAGACATTTTCTATCTACTTTTTATTTTATTTGACTAATTTTATTTTTAAACCCAGACGGAATGATATAGTGCAGGCAACTGACAACCTCTCCTCTATCCTAAGTACATTTAGATCTACCTGAGTAGATCTAAATAGTATTTCACGCAAATGATCTAAGACAAGTCTTTTAACTAGCCTCTTATTCTATGCATTGAACTTTTAACTAGCTTCTTATTCTATGCATTGAAGTTATTGTCAGGATTTTGCTCTTAGAACAATGCTTTAGCAAAAAAGAGCAAATGAATGCTATTTCTTTGTTCACTTAGTCCATATGCACACATAGGTATATTCAGGAGTTCCCCTCCCTACCTCAAATGTAGAACTGAGTCAAAGTATGTGATGACATAAAAATTCAGAAGTTATTTCCAAACTGGCAAATGTTTTCTCAGTTTACGTTCCCACCACCAGTTATGAGACAGCCTTTTTTTCCGTTTTCTACCAAGCTCTGACTTTTCTTAAATGTTTACATATCTGCCAAACTGGTAAAACAACTGGTATCTTGCTATTTTCGTATGTGTTCATTATGAACGAGGTTAAATATCTCATTTAAAGGTACACAGAGACTTTAACAGGCAGACTTTAAAGTAGAAAGAAAATTTCTAAATTTTCTGGTATTTTTACTCTTTCTTGTTCCCCTTAAGGTTTACAATTCATCACTTTCAATCTGGTTGCCTTTTTTAATGTTTCGCATTCTTTCCTCCCTTAGGAAATAATCTCTCTTAGTCAGAATCTCCTTAACAACACCCATAATTGTGTCACTTTTTCTAACACTCATGGTGAGTGCCATGATCTGGCATCCTGTACTCCTGTAGTTCTTGTCTTCTTCTGGATAACTCACCTTATCTTCCCCAAATCCATTAAAGTAAGCAAATGAGTTCTTATTCTGTGCAATGTATTTTTTTGGTGACAAAACATACAACAGAGGAATATGAGTTGCTTTGTAACCGAAATTGTTTCCAACTGCTTATATTAGCCCTTGTCTAGTTTTCTGATATTTGAATTGCTTGTGATTTTGCCAACATCAGCGCTTTTTGTCCTAAGTAAAAGTTCCCCTTTCAGGTAGCATGAAAGCTATCATAGCTGACAGAGGCAATGGATGAAGCCAATCACTGTGGTCTCTGAGTTTGTGTTCCTCAGACTGTCTGATTCATGGAAGATCCAACTCCTCCTCTTCCTCTTTTCCTCAGTGTTCTATGTGTCAAGACCTATGGGAAACCTGTTCATTGTGCTAACCGTGACCTCTGACCCTCGTTTACAGTCCCCTATGTACTTCTTGCTGCCCAATATTCCATCATTGATTTGGTATTTTGCTCCTCCACAGTTCCCAAGATGATTTATGACCTTTTCAGGAAGAACAAAACCATCTCTTTTTGGGGCTGTGTAACTCAGATCTTCTTTATCCACTCAGCAGGGGGCACTGAGATTGTGCTGCTCATAGCCCTGGCTTTTGACCGATATGTGGCTATATGTAAGCCTCTCCACTACCTGACCATCATGAGCCCACAAAGGTGCATTTTGTTTTTAGTCATTTCCTGGATTATAGGTACTATTCACTCAGTGATTCAGTTGGCTTTTGTTGTAGACCTGCCTTTCTGTGGCCCTAATAAATTAGATAGTTTCTTTTGTAATCTTCCTCGATTTATCAAACTGGCTTGCATAGAGACCTACACATTGGGATTCATGGTTACGGCCAATAGTGGATTTATTTCTCTGGCTTCCTTTTTAATTCTCATAATCTCTTACATCTTTATTTTGGTGACTGTTCAGAAAAAATCTTCAGGTGGTATATTCAAGGCTCTCTCTACACTGTCAGCTCATGTCATTGTGGTGATTTTGTTCTCTGGGCCATTAATCTTTTTCTATATTTTTCCATTTTCCACATCACATCTGGATAAATTTCTTGCCATCTTTGATGCAATTATCACTCCTGTTTTGAATCCAGTTATCTATACTTTTAGGAATAAAGAGATGAAGGTGGCAATGAGAAGACTATGCTCTCAATTTAAATATATTTATATTATAAATATATAAATATATTATATTTATAATATTAATATATTTATATTATACAAAAAGGCAGATTATACTAGGATTTTAGACAGAAATGTGCTAAGTAAGCTATATTTACTTTAACTGGAATATCACCTTCTACTAACATTTGTTGTGTCTTTTTTTTCTTCCCAAATTGAATCGTGATACCAATCTCTCGACTACTTACATAAGAAATTTAAACATTAAAGAGTGCGGCTACTTTATCTCACCAACATCTTACCATATATAGGCAAGAATTAACCCATGTGTTAAGGGAAGAACCTGATGGGAGGTGATTGGATTATGAGAACAACCTGTTTTCCCCCTTGCTGTTCTCGTGATCGTGAGTGAGTCTCACGAGGTCTGATGGTTTTATAAGCTACTGGCGTTTCCCCTGCTTGTGCTTACTCCTTCCTGCTGTCTCATGAAGGAAGTGCTTGCTTCTGCTTTGTCTTCCATCATGATTGTAAGTTTCCTGAGGCCTTGCCAGCCATGCAGAACTGTGAGTCAATTAAATCTCTTTCCTTTATAAATTATCCAGTCATGGGTATTTCTTTATAGCAGTGTAGAACAAACTAATACAGCAGGCAAACCAGAATAGAGTCACTTGTGCTAGATGCCATGTAATCAAATTGAACTTCAAAATGAGTCACTTTTAAAACCCACCCCCAAAACCAACATTACAATTAGCCTGAGTCAGTAAAATATTAAAATCTCTTCTGTTTTAAGTTTATAAGGGAAGTATCTTTGAAAAGGCCAATCCATTTTTTGTCTCTGATTCTGCTTTCTTTGGCCTTTTTCTGCCTGCAAGTCCAAGCTCTTCTGCTCAGCTCATTGGGAACACTTGCTCTATTTGATAGACTGAAGTATTGCCCAATTATAGAATCACCAATAAAAGCCAATTAGATCTTCAAATTGTAACTTTGTAATTTTGACAGTTATTAACTAGTTGTTTGGGGGGGAAAAGAACTTTAAGATAAAAATGTAGCATTTGTAAGAAGCAGCTTTCACTCCTAGAAAAGAGGAAATAAAGGAAAGAGGTTAGAACTACTAAGACTTAAATTAAAACAAAAAACTATTAAAGCTTAAAGAAAAACCTGTGCAGGAGAAACTCAAATACCTGAGTGGGGTGGATGCTGCCTGGCTGGTGCTAGTGTTTCTGAGCTTAGATGAGGGCCTATGGGTCAAAACACACCCTTGAGGAAGAGGCACCACTGGCTGGTGCAGGTGTTCCTGAGGAGGGTGTGATGAGCAGAGCTCCTGTAGCATCATAAAAACTAACTGGATTCAGCTGCTGCTTTGGAAAACAACCAAAGTTGCTGAGTTGATGAGTGTGTTTGGGTAATGCTGATAGGCACAGTAAGCAGAGAGAGGGCAAACAGGAAGAAGCAAGTCCCTTTTTCCACATCCAGTCTTGCAACTTCCCTCTAGTATCCCTAATGGTGAGTCAAAGCAAGGAAAAGCTAAAAAGAAAAAGTTGGCAGAGCCCCAGCTCCTGCATCATACAGAGTGTAGACAGATATGTTGGCACTGCAAGCACATGCAGTTACTTAGTAGGATCATAGAGTTTTTGAACTTTAAATTATAAATAATTTCAGCCCTTCCTCATTTTAAACTCTCAGCTACTAGAAAAGAAAATAAGCCCATGATGATAAAATGTGAAAGATCCAAATCTAGAACCTAGAACCCAGGCTGACAGACTCCTGGTCTTCTGCTGTTTTCTATCATTTTAGGTCACATTTCCTGAGTTGATAAATCTGGTATTCCATTGGACTGTTAATGTTTCACTTACATAAGATATTCACCTTGTATCTTGAGTGACTGTCAAATAGAGTTTCAACAAATGTTCAGACATAATTTTCACCTAATCTATTCAGTCCTTTACATTTCTTTTTCTAATCCTGTGGGTTATTTTAAAATAAGGTTTTTATTTTGGAATAACTTTAGTATTACAGAAAAGTTAAAGAGCTAGTCCAGACAGTGACCATATGCCCCTTACCAAGTTTCAGTTTCCCCTAATGTTATTACCTTACATTTCCATGGTGCATTTTCCAAAACTGAGAAGTCATCACTGGTATAATATGTTACTATGACCTAAACTCTAGATTTTATTCAAGTTTCACCGTTTTTTTCCATTAATGACTTATGTTTCAGAATCCAATCCTAGATGTCACATTACATTATGTCTCTTTTATTTTTAATGTTTTTTAATATCCTCTAAGATTTGTGACAATTTCTCAGTCTTACCTTGCTTTCATGGTGTCACAGCTTTGAGGAATACTGGTCAGATATTTTGTAGAATGTCCCTCAATTTGAGTTTGACATTTTTTATTATAGTTATACATGGGTTCTGTATTTTTTAAAATAATATCCAAAAGATGAAAAGATCTAATCACATGGTATTAGGGAATACATAATATCCACACAGCATCACTAGTGATGTTAAATTTGCTCATGGTTTATTATTTGATCTTGATAAAACAGAAGTGACTTCTTAGATATTACATATGGCATCTGCATTCTTTCTACTTAAGCCCCCTAGTTATCTATGGGATTGATTATGGTTCAATATAATTTTTCAATATATAACAGATTTTTCTTGGGGATATGATTGGGGTATAGATTTTCTTGGCATATAGATTTTCCTTGGGGTTTAGTTCAAATCCATCCCACCATGGTTGGATTGTAAAGGCAAGCTGTGTCATGATTGCTCCATGTTGTCTCTCTTGATCTTACTTTGATTCAGTTGCTTTTTCCTTCTATGCAGATGGAATTATTGGCCTCTCTTTTTGAGTTTCCTAGTCTTATGACTTCAGAACTGATTTCGTGTTTCATATCTCTAGTTATGGATAGTTTTCCCTAGGAGTTCTTACTGGAGTGTCTTTGGCAGTATAACTACCTTAGCCAACTTCTAGTGCTGCTATATCTCACCCTCTGGCCTAATTTTGTATGAGTGGGCATTTGAATATTTTGTCATGAATCTTTGATGTATAATAAGCGAAGGAGAAATAATTGCTAGCATAGCAACATGGATGAATTAATGACTGGTCTTTAAACCCAAAGCCTAGGGTTCAAGACTATGGAGAAGAACATGATCTTCGCGCCTACCTCTTGGATATTATTTCCAGGGTGGGAAATATTAATTAGATCAGTCATTTGCTTTATTTGTATTTTTTCTATGCCATGAAACAGTGATGAATAAAATAATGCTGACAAGTTCAAAGGGCTGATGCCTCATAATGCTTTAAAAGACATGATCATTGTCATTATTGATCTTCAGGGATACAATGTAGAGGATGTCTATGGCAGTGTTGGTTTTAGTATAGGGAAGGTATAATCTTCAAAATATGAAACTGCATTGATAAGAACAGATGCTGGCCACAGAGTTGGAGAAAGATCCCGGAGACTCCTGCTGTTCCAGGAATTAACTTTTAGTAGCTGATTCATAAGTAGTTCTGGGGAAGCAACTCGGAAGCAGATGGAACCTCAAAAGCCTTGTGACAGTGGCTATATTCTAACCAATGTGAAAGTATTTACAATTTTTAACAACTGGTATTACACCTGTGTCTCCTAGGTAAATATTAACAATATCAGTATGTGAGGGTTGGAGAAATTAAAAGCAAGGTCCAATACTTACATAATCCAGTCAGCAACCCTGAAAAACTTGGGGGTAATCTGCCTACTCAAAGGCAGAAAGCGGTGCATAGCCACCATGGAATGCTCTGCAGTATTTATTTATTTATTTATTTATTTTAATTTTTTATTGGATTATAGGTTTTGGGGTACATGAGCAGAGCATGCACGACAGTTGCGTAGGTACACACATGGCAGTGTGCTTTGCTTTTCTTCTCCCCTTCACCCACATTTGGCATTTCTCCCCAGGCTATCCCTCCCCACCTCCCCCTCCCACTGGCCCTCCCCTTTTCCCGCCAATAGACCCCAATGTTTAGTACTCCCCTTTCTGTGTCCATGTGTTCTCATTTTTCATCACCCACCTATGAGTGAGAATATGCGGTGTTTCATTTTCTGTTCTTGTGTCAGTTTGCTGAGGATGATGTTTTCCAGATTCATCCATGTCCCTACAAACGACACGAACTCATCATTTCTGATTGCTGCATAATATTCCATGGTGTATATGTGCCACATTTTTCCAATCCAGTCTATTATCAATGGGCATTTGGGTTGATTCCAGGTCTTTGCTATTGTAAACAGTGCTGCAATGAACATTCGTGTACATGTGTCCTTATAGTAGAACGATTTATAGTCTTTTGGATATATACCCAGTAATGGGATTGCTGGGTCGAATGGAATTTCTATTTCTAAGGCCTTGAGGAATCGCCACACTGTCTTCCACAATGGTTGAACTAATTTACACTCCCACCAACAGTGTAAAAGTGTTCCTTTTTCTCCACATCCTCTCCAGCATCTGTTGTCTCCAGATTTTTTAATGATCGCCATTCTAACTGGCGTGAGATGGTATCTCAATGTGGTTTTGATTTGCATCTCTCTGATGACAAGTGACGATGAGCATTTTTTCATATGATTGTTGGCCTCATATATGTCTTCTTTCGTAAAGTATCTGTTCATATCCTTTGCCCACTTTTGAATGGGCTTGTTTGTTTTTTTTCTGTAAATCTGCTTGAGTTGTTTGTAAATTCTGGATATCAGCCCTTTGTCAAACGGGTAGACTGCGAAAATTTTTTCCCATTCTGTTGGTTGCCGATCCACTCTAGTGACTGTTTCTTTTGCCGTGCAGAAGCTGTGGAGTTTCATTAGGTCCCATTTGTCTATTTTGGCTTTTGTTGCCAATGCTCTTGGTGTTTTGTTCATGAAGTCCTTGCCTACTCCTATGTCCTGGATAGTTTTGCCTAGATTTCCTTCTAGGGTTTTTATGGTGCCAGGTCTTATGTTTAAGTCTTTTATCCATCTGGAGTTAATTTTAGTGTAAGGTGTCAGGAAGGGGTCCAGTT